CATTGAAGCGAATATGCTAATAGAATATGTGATCTGAAAACTAATCGATCATTTAGCGGCTGTCACGGACGCAAAAAGAAATTTCCGAGCGAAAAAGTGTGAGCTTGCGTTCCCATCAAACACATTCGCATACAAATGCACTTAAAAATAATTTTTCCAACGAATTCTGAGAATATTTTTATAATAAATATATATATATAGATATATCTTTAAATAATAATAATTTTTATAATAAATACTTATCTAGATATATCTTTAAATAATAATAAAGTATATAATCTCAAAAAATAAGAATATATGGACGGCAGAGTGGAAGATCGGCCTACTCAGCAGCCGATTTGAAAACGCCCTATCTCAGGAAATGGCTAAACAACGCCCTACTTCAAATTTTGGGGTTGAAATACCACCTGTCTCAGAATTTTTTCAAAAACGACCTAGCTGAAAATTTATTGAAAACAATTTGATATATGGCATTTTTGAAGCGGCACCTGAGATAGGGCGTTCTTCAACCAAATTCTGAAATAAGGTCTTCTTGAAAACGTTTCTGAAATAAGGAGTCTAAGAACCGGCTGCCGAGATAGGTCGATCTTCCAAACAGCCGTCGATATATGAGCCATTTTACGTCAATTTTAAAAAATGCCANTTTCGAAAAACAGCCGTCGATATATGAGCCATTTTACGTCAATTTTAAAAAATGCCACTCATCATTTAAAAATTAACATTTTCTCCCATTTCTCCAAAATATAACAGATTTTCTTTTTTACCTGGACCATCGGGGTGGGGGGCTTCAGTTGACGAATAATGCTTCATATACTATATAATAATATTATAAATGTATGATAAATGTTCATACACAAAGTGAAGACTGCAACTTATTAAATGTTTTGATAAACTTTTCCTTAATACAATTATCAGAAAATCCCAAGCACTTTAAAATTTCCAGGCCCGGCCTAGATACCGCCTGCTCACCCACTTTCTGCTGTTGCTGTTGTGGGGGCTTCTTAGCCTCAACTAATGCTAGGGCCTAGATAGCAAACGAAGAGTTAGTTCACATGCTTGACATACATATGTTTGGTATGTTCCAACAACCCAGTAGATAATTTTAGGAGTTCTTTTAAAGTTACTTCTGTAATTTATAAAAATCATACATCTTTGAAGTATTTGCTTACGGTTTATATCAAATATGTGTTATTGCGAGTTCAATGTTTATTGAAATTCATTTGTAATGCCAAATAATATAAATTTATGCATTCGAGTCAAGAATTTTTATTGAGTTTTTTTTTAATGAAAACTTATTGTGGAAAAGCAACAATAACTTGATAAAGTAGTAGAAGTAATAGCTAATAGCTATTTCGGAAATCACCATATTTCCTCATCAGACTTTTTTCATTAGGATTCGAGCCGACGATCCCACGATTCGGGTAAATTGTAAATGGATAAGCCCTTCTAGAAGACATGCGATGTAGTACTTTTTCAGGCCTTCTTGGGTAGGTCTCTTAGACTGGCTTTACTTAAGAAGGCCTACCTAAATTATCTTCAGGGAAGTCTAGATATGTTGAAGTTTAAGCTGTTACAATGTGCAGACCGCCATTGTTTAATGTCGTTGAAGACCAGCCTGTATAGCGTCGGGTCCAGTGGTTGTTGAATGCTGCCATGGATTTCGGGTGTAAACTTATAGCGATGGCTTTTGACGCGCCTAGAAAGAGTTGCTGCATCTACCAAATGCCTGTTCGGATAGCAATTGATTATTATTATTATTACTTATGTTCACTTAAATCCGTTGTGTATCCATGTGAAATACTGGTACTGGTAGTCTTAAGTAAAATTATTGTTTTTTCTTCAAACAATTCCTACATCCCAATTGCAACCGCATCATCAGCCATGCCGCCCTCACTTTAAGCTGGTCGGAAAAGTCAAAGAAAAGAAAATCGACGAAACTTACAATTTTTACGCGAATGAGAAGCAATTGTAAAGCGTTTATTTAATCGCAATTTATCGTGGCTTCTGTTCCACTACACGCATGCAAAAAAGTTCGTACATATGTGCTACTTATTGACTTTCCGCGATTGTAATTGAAAAAGTGCATGCGTTGTTGTTATTTTTTTTTTCTGGTATACTGAGGTAATAAAATGCGCGACAACATTTATTGTTATGGATTTTATACTGACATGATGCCTAGTAATTATCTCTTGATTTTTTTTTTTTACTTTTTGATTGTAGATATGAACCATGCATGCATGTATGTTTGTACATACAAGAATATATCAACATACAGACATGCATCCATATGTATATGAATGAAATTATAGTAAATTTAAGTCAATTTTAGTTGCACGTACATATGTTTATGCATGTACATATGTACATAATACATCCATAAGCACGCTTGTGAAATATATTTAATATACAGATGGTTATATGATAACTGGGTAGGTGTGTCATGTCTGGTCTATGATTTTTTACATGTCGTTCTAAAATCGACCAGCATTTTCTTCTAAGACACTGAAACGTGTTAAGTTGTATACTTTGGTTTGTGAAAGCTTTCAAGTAGTTAATAAAATCGTGACTTTTAGAGTTTTTTCACTAAAAATGCTGCATCATTGCTTAACTATTTAAGTTTTTTTTTTTTGTTTTCTATACTAAAAATAGTATATATAGCCTATTTGCTGGTTTATCGATTTCGTTAAATATGTACTTATACAAATGCATGTGGCTATGTATGTATGTATATTTTATATATCGTCACTACTCGTACAACTACAAGTTTGTTGATAAATTTCTATTCGTGATCTATGCTTTGCCGTTCGTAGTTTTTTTCTTTTATTTTTAGTGTGTACATTTTTTTCGGATTTTATATTGTGCAGGGTTCCCCATTTGATTGCGTCGATTACCACCTTCTCTAAGTCGTTGCATAACAAATACATAAAATTTTTGTAGACATGCACGAGGTACGCTTTTATAGTTGCACCGTTTTCAGGGGCCGACATATGTACATATGTAGTATGTGAATAGCTATAGTATGGCTTGGAATGTTTTAAAAAAATTTACATTCAAATTTTTCCACTCATAAGGCAAAGTTCAGGTTGAAATTACTTTAAGAATACACTTACTGAGTGAATATTTTGCGAGCTTTGCTAGTCGTGTATATGCCATGAAAGGCGAGGAAAATAAGTGCTTGTATGTTTACATAGTTACCTATGTACTGTATGTATTTTTATGGGGCCTTTGCTATATTCTTTCAACTTTTTTTTTTTTGTAATGGGTGTTGCCCAAACATTTGTTTCGTGTTTGTCGTGAAATATCGATAAATATATGTTTACTTATATGCAGAAATGACCTACACACCTTCTTCTATGTTGCGCGAAAAATTCATAACTATAGCGATTAACCATAGCACATTAAAAGAAAAATTTTCTGCATCTTTACTATAGGAGCGTATGTAAACTTTAAAACCTTTTTCTCCGGTTTTTGATTTTTTAGATTATGAAACTCTTGCAGCAAATGAGCGATATGTACATATGTCGTTTTTCTAATGGTGGTCACACTTCGGCAGGTAATAACAAACCTCCCACCGCATTTGTGTTAAGAAATATATACTCCCATAGCTTTCTCTCGCATGTGGCGAATGCGATCATATACGTACATAGCCATATGTACGTACATGTGTACATTATAATTTTTTATCTTTACTATACAAATCTTTGCATGTAAAATATTTCTTTAATAAATTTAATCAGCAAACTAAAGCCGAATAATATTTTTCATTCATACGTATGTATGTAAATTCTATAGCAAATCATCTCCTTATATGACCACCTTTAAGCTTGTTATGACGCCTATGAGATCATTATATAACACCATTATTCTCGGAAACCCCACAAGTGTCGTTTAAAATTTCATTGTGAAATGGGTTTTAGAAGTACGCCGCCTGCTGCTAACAGCCTCTTATAATATTTAATTTCTATTATCATAACAAGCTATACATAGTACAATAGCGCGATAAATATAAAATAAGAAAAATGAGGTGTTCTCGGAATGATAACTGGGCGTTGTGCGCTCTGATCAATTGCCATTACGAGCACACGCCATTCAATGCATACAGCCATATACATACATGCATACATACATAGTCTAAAAATATGCTTGTATGTTCACATGTAAGTGTAAGTACGTCGCACTCGATATTTGACTTCTGCAGCAGGGTCTGGTACGATATGTCGAAATTTAAAACATCGAAACTAAAAACACCGAAAAAAACGTCGAAAAAAATAAATAGAAAAAGAAGAATGCCGAGAAAAAATTTGTCGAAAAGAAAAATGTTGAAAATAAATATAGCGAAAAAAATATATCGATACATATAATGTAATGAATGATGTGTAAAATTCGTGCAAATTTGAAAAGCACTTTTAATTTTTTTTTTCCAAACATTCAACTTTTTCGACATTTTCGACGTTTTGCATTTTTTTCGACCTTTCTCATTTCGAAAGGATACGATTTCGACATTTTCCGTTTCGGTAAAATATTATTTCGAGATTTACAAAATTTTTAAATTTCGAATTTTCTGTTTCGACATTTTTATTTTTGACTTATCGTACGGATCCCCTGCAGCAAGCAAACATAAAGTAGATCAGCTTTATATAAAGGACTCTTTAGTACAAGCCTTTAAATATTTAGTATAAGTGCTTTGCTGAATTTCGTCTTTCCTGTCTTTAAAAATCAATATGTTGGATATGCACCTTTGAATAATCAATAGATCATTTCTAAGGTTACCCTCAACTAAGTATGCGTACCCATATACGAATATGCACCCACAAATCACACCATTGTGGATTCATATATATATATTTAAACGTTAACTATGAATTTCGCAAAAATAACTTTTATGTAAAAATCGATTAATAATACGCGTCTTACGGCTATGATTAATTTCATATGTACTCTTTGTTTTGCCTATAAGTAATTGTTATCATTGAATACCATTTTTTGGTTTGTATTTTTAGACAAGAATGCAAAGTTTATCGCCAGTAACTTCCAAATATGACATCAGCACTACCTTCAAGAATATGATCAAAAAAGAGGGTATTATGAGGTGAGCCAATTACTAAATTTCGTACATTCAATATGCACAATAATGCTGATGTTTTATTTTCTACGGAACATAATTTTTTTTTTTTTAATCTACCTTTCTATTTATTGATGCTACGCCGCAGACCCATTCGTGGTGTCTCGGCTGTTGTTGCTGGCGCTGGACCTGCACATGCGCTGTACTTTGGTTCCTATGAGATGACGAAAGAGCTCCTGACTAAGGTCACCACCAACAATCATGTCAATTATAGTAAGTATGCAACTCCATTAAAAAATTAAATTTGTATGCATATTTCATTGCAACGAAAAATTATATACTATACGAACAAATGTATGTATTTAATGTGTTTTTTTTTACTGTCTTTAGTGGCCTCTGGTGCTGTGGCGACACTCATACACGATGCCGTATCGAATCCAACGGATGTGATAAAACAACGCATGCAAATGTACAATTCGAAATATAGTACAGTTATTGGCTGTATGAAAGATGTATATCGCAATGAGGGCATCAAAGCTTTCTACAGATCATATTCCACACAACTAGTGATGAACATACCATATCAGACATTACATTTTGCAACATACGAGTTTTTCCAAAATACGGTACATAGTTAATTATTGCATGCGAAGAATTTCTCCTCATTTCTTAAACCTTGCAATCATTGAATGCTCTTCTTTTGCGCACTAACTTTTCAGTTGAATCNATTAATCTACCTTTCTATTTATTGATGCTACGCCGCAGACCCATTCGTGGTGTCTCGGCTGTTGTTGCTGGCGCTGGACCTGCACATGCGCTGTACTTTGGTTCCTATGAGATGACGAAAGAGCTCCTGACTAAGGTCACCACCAACAATCATGTCAATTATAGTAAGTATGCAACTCCATTAAAAAATTAAATTTGTATGCATATTTCATTGCAACGAAAAATTATATACTATACGAACAAATGTATGTATTTAATGTGTTTTTTTTTACTGTCTTTAGTGGCCTCTGGTGCTGTGGCGACACTCATACACGATGCCGTATCGAATCCAACGGATGTGATAAAACAACGCATGCAAATGTACAATTCGAAATATAGTACAGTTATTGGCTGTATGAAAGATGTGTATCGCAATGAGGGCATCAAAGCTTTCTACAGATCATATTCCACACAACTAGTGATGAACATACCATATCAGACATTACATTTTGCAACATACGAGTTTTTCCAAAATACGGTACATAGTTAATTATTGCATGCGAAGAATTTCTCCTCATTTCTTAAACCTTGCAATCATTGAATGCTCTTCTTTTGCGCACTAACTTTTCAGTTGAATCATGAACGGAGATATAGTCCCGTGGTTCATATGGTTGCCGGTGGTGCGGCAGGTGCTACTGCTGCTGCCTTCACGACGCCTCTGGATGTGGTGAAAACGTTGCTAAACACACAGGAGAACGGTCATACAAAAGGCATGATTGAAGCGATTCGACAGGTAAGGAGATATGTACATACATACAACAAAAAACAAAAACTAAGTAATTGCTTTTTCTTAAAACTACTTACCTTTTACTTCAATTTTGTTTGAATAAATCGAGTAAATGGTCTGAAATTTTAAGAAAAAGAAAGTGCTTATTTTTGTTCCAAGCTTTTGAAGTTACGAGATTTGCGGCAGATTCATAAAAAAAATTGATTCATGTCAAGAAGAAAATATATGAATTTTTCACTTTATTTGCCATCAAATAGACTTGAGATGGAAAAAGTAAAATACTTAAATTTTATCGATGCTTCATGAAAATGGTTCCAACAAATATTTCTGTTTGAAAATTTAAACTTCGTAGATTCCTCGAGCAAAATAGCTTTGGAAACAAATTTTTTGCCTATAGTTAAAAAAAAAAACGTTTTTTAAATTAAAATTAGATGTCGCAAGCCCTACGACAGTCTCCTAGCTTAATAATGAAACTTCTCGGTTGCCTTCGCGAAGAATACCAAAAAAATATCTTCAGGATTAAATTGGTTTATATTATTTATTTAAATAAAACTATCAGTTTTTCCTAACATGTTCAAAATTTTGCCGCAACAATTAAACCTCCCTACACTCTTTTCACTCATTACGTCATCCGCTTACATTTCACAGATCCATGGAGTAGCTGGGGTAAAAGGCTTTTTCCGCGGCATGTTGGCGCGTGTTTTGTACTCAATGCCCGCCACAGCCATATGCTGGTCAACATATGAATTTTTTAAATTCTACTTGGCTGGCTCTAATCACAGTACGTACAAGTCATCGATAACTGGCAAAAATGCATTGTAGCGACGAGAAGAAACACCTGAGCGCGGCGAAAAAACTGCCTATGTATTGCCCGTAACAACCACCGAAACAGAGGAGGTGGCGAATGCAAAAGCAACAATAAACAACAACAACAATGCCTACATCACCCAGCAGCGGTACAGGTGGTGGTGCGACAGCTGGCCCAACGCCAGGTGGCGCAACTGCGATCAAAAGCGTGTGTGAACTGCCCAGTAATGTGACTACATCAGCATTAAATCTGCACACGAGGCATACAGATGTCAAAAGTGCGCGACCATTCGAACGAGGATACTCGAGTCCGTAATTCTAAGTGTGATCACCAGATACGAAGCGAGCGTTGGAGAGAGGGGAGCAATACGAGACGAAAAATATTGTAATGTACAAAAATAAATTTAAAAAATCTACAGTAAGCAGAGCTAGGGCCAGCGATATGCGTTCATAGCAGACGACATCATCATTATTACGTTTGGCCATGCTGGTGTGTTTCTCGAGGGAAGCCTGGGCGTGTTTTGATAGTGGCGAGGTAAGGGCAGGTGGAGGTGTATATAACAGCGTCGACGTGGACCGTCACACTGTAGGTCGCCCCAAAAACCTCCCTTCCGTGAAGACAAAGAATGCTTAGTAAGGAACTTGATTTTATGGTGTTTAGATACCCACCACCTGCCTGTAGCGATTTTTCTAAATGCAAACAACCAAGAAAAACAAATCGGAAGATGAAATTAGCAAATTAAAAACAAAGATATTTCATAATATAACAGGAATAAACCAATACCAAATGAATGTAGAAGTGGCATGAAACATATCGCCAGCACAAATATAATAACGTTTCAAGTATTATGTAAATATGCATGTCTTTATCTTCACCTCTGCTCAACGTCATTTCCTTACGGCACGCCGTCCCCCTCTCTCCTTTCCACAAATTCAAGGCGGAGTGGAAATTCATGTTTGTAATTATAAAAATATATATATATATATGTATGTATGTATGTATGTATATGTAAATCGGTTCGGAAAGTGAGATCAATTCGAAAAATTACTATATGTTTAAAATACTGTACACAATAAAGTCTTTGCAAAAGAGCATAAACTTGTAATCTAATTACACTATAAATAAAGCTAGTTTATAAATACAACCACACACAAAAATGCAGACGTGCTTAGTTGTAGAGTTAACTTCCGTTCCCAGCTCTTTGAATTTCAAAGAAATTGAAGCGCAGCTAAAAAGCGGGAATAATAAAATAAAATTATGAGTTACGAGTTACGAGTATCGGTATTCTAGAAGTACGAGTACGTCACAGTCTTTTATGCAAAAACAACGGAAAACGCAAGTTGAAAAATATGTATGCCATTACCACGCTATGCTACGGAACCTAAGAAGTACAGTCCAAAACATGTAATTGTAATAACAATTTCAACAGAGTTTTTACTGTGATTTTATACCACAAACGCCTTGGATGTTCCAGACAGGGATGCTAGTTTTGCTATTTGAAAGACATGTATTTTTTTCAATATTTTGGTTTTTTGCTCTGTATACTTAGACAGTGATTGCAGGAAAAAATTAAAACTGTTAATTTTATTTTAAATTATATTAAACTAAACTATGCTAACTTAAAATTTTATTGTTATTAAACTACACAACCTTGTAATTTAAAAACAGAAGATCTGAAAAAAAGAACTGTTTTTTTTCGCTAAATATATAAGCATTGTGTTTTTATTTATTTTTTATTTTTTTTGGTGGAAAGTTCACGAAAAGGGGGCAAAGTTCACGAAAATTAATTCACTGTTTGGGACACAATGCGTGCTGCCACTCGGATGGTTACAACTTTGATTTGATCCCTGCTCGGCGTAACAACCGAAAGGTTTTTTCTAAGAGCGGTTACCAATCAACTGGTAATGTCAAACCTCTTTAATTGTGGATTAATAGACCTTTTGGTCCCCAGCGTTACCAGATGCGAGGTCGGGGTCGAGCCTTAGCTTGCCTTGTAATAGCTATCATTTAGGCTGTCACCGCTCTTAGTGAACCTAAGGAGCTCTTGGAGTCCCACATTGGAGATTTCAGTAATTTTTTACCCATCTCACAGTGGCCGGAGGAGCTATGTTTTACGCGAAAAATTAGAAGGGCTGTTACGATTATAATAAAAATGCAGGGTCGTAGTATTTTTGTTGTGCTAAATCCGAATATGCCATACAATTTTTAGTTTGACAGTTGACAGCTGTCAAATCAACTCCCAGTTTCTCTTAAAATAAGAAAATCGTTTTGAAAATACCACTGATTAGTTTTTTAGGCACGCTGGTCGCATTGAAAAGTTTACAGTTGACAGCTGTCAAATGGACTGGGATTTTTTATAAAAAAAAATGTTAAATGACACTGATTACATTATTAGACATGCTAATCACGAATTCCATGACAAATTAAAACTTTGAGAGTTGACAGCTGTCAAATAGAGTGTTAAATTTTCTAGAAATTAGAAAAAATTTTTTTTAATGCGCTACTGAGAAAGGGTTTGGGCCCGTTTTTTTTCATTTTACACCAAATTCGTAATTTCCAGACTTCAGTTTTCTCATTTTTTAATAAAGTTACTCAGGTTTGAAAACTCCATTAATTATTTAAATCTCGGACGCCATATTGGATTTTGCACTTTGAATTTTACTAAACTAGGTTGAAATTTTGTAACGAGCGAACTTAAGAACCTATACATACCAAATTTCATGAACCTTCAGCAATTTTTAAATTCTTGGACGCCATATTGGATTCGCTGTTTTGGATTTTTGAGAAATTACTCCAGGTTTGTGAAGATACATCTTATTAATTATATAGTATAAATTACATTAATCCCTAAAGTTTTAATACACTTTTTGTTATAAAAATGGCCGCCACTTTTTTAGCGCTAGTATGCTCGGCTTTTCTTTTCGTAGATTCCTAAAGGACCCTTTGCTTTACTTTTTGAAAAAAAAATTTTCTTGAAAAATAAGCTGTGTTATTAAGGTATTGATAATTTAGCAACAAATTTTTATTATGTATGTAATATTTCATATGAAATCATCATTTCCCATGTCTAGGAAGTAACTCCAAACCAGCAATTACTGTTATAGTTGAAAGTGCACATAAAAGAATTGCAAGAACGTGTCACGATCGATAGATATTAGTGAAAGTAAGTACTAATCAGTTTACAGTTAATTTATCATAGTTTTCAAATATGCCATTTTCGCGTAAAACATGGCCTCTCCAACCATTGTACAGATGCACAATATAATAATATATCAATGTAAATATTAAAAAATATGACGCGGTCTCATACGTTTAAGACAATTCTTTTGTTCCNAAAAATAAGCTGTGTTATTAAGGTATTGATAATTTAGCAACAAATTTTTATTATGTATGTAATATTTCATATGAAATCATCATTTCCCATGTCTAGGAAGTAACTCCAAACCAGCAATTACTGTTATAGTTGAAAGTGCACATAAAAGAATTGCAAGAACGTGTCACGATCGATAGATATTAGTGAAAGTAAGTACTAATCAGTTTACAGTTAATTTATCATAGTTTTCAAA